TTGTAGATCTTACCTTGCTAAACATTATTGCCGTTTACAGTTTATCTCTATCTATAATAATATTCAAGATAATAACCAAAAACTGCAAAATTTCCTTAAAATTACCAATTCAGGGGCAGCAACCCAACAACGGGTTGTCCCATTCATCTGAAAATTTCAGGGCAGATAGATCTTGACCTGATAAACAATTTTATTCCATGTCAGATTTGCTCTGAATGCTTTGGTTTCAGAGATATAAGCCAAAATCTACATTTTACCCCCTATGTTCTATTTTTAGCCATGGCGGCCATCTTGGTTGGTTGGCCGGGTCACCGGACACATTTTTCAAACTAGATACCCCAATTATGATTGTGGCCAAGTTTGGTCAAATTTGGCCCAGTAGTTTCAGAGGAGAAGATTTTTGTAAAAGTTAACGACGACGGACGACGACGGACGACGGACTCCAAGTGATGAGAAAAGCCCACTTGGCCCATTGGGCCAGGTGAGCTAAAAAAATCTGTATAATATAAAAAGGTTGGGTGTAAGCCATTAACATTTAAAGGGGAACATTTTTTGCAAGTGTAGGAGGAGTTGCATTGCCCAAAATTGATGATTAATGCTCTACTAATGTAGTTTATAGAAAATCACGACAATGCAAAAATAATTGCTAGCTGGCTCCTGATTTCCTCGCTGACATAAACTTCTACAGCAGTGTGATCAACCCAGCAGTAGCTAATTAGGTAAAGAACGAGGTACTGTGTTTATTCAAAGAAAATATGGACATTTTAAAAGTTTTATACAATGTATAGAATCGCTCGTTTTTGCAAATGGTAAGTTAATTTTCAAAAACGTGAGTAAAAATGGAAAAAAAAATGAATCAATCAATGGATGAAAAAAGAACTATTTTGAAAGAATGAAGATGTGATTCTGTCATACTTACATTAATGCTTACATTATGCTACAGGAAAAAAGTAAATGCAATTTAATTTTGATCTTACTTAATTATGACAAGCATTTACAATATGCTAGATGTTGTGAATCTAAAATGACTTTGTTGAGGATGTTGGCATCTCTTTCCTCCTACGTTCTGGGCTATTTAGCTTCTATGAAATATTAGCCTTAATTAAAAGATAACCTGATTGACACCCGCTGGCTGTGTACTGATTGATAAGGTTATTTGGTAGAACCACAGATATTAAATAACTGGGTTGGCTTTGAATTTGACTGAAGTATCTGCCAGTACTTTTAGTTTTATGTTTGGTTTTTGTACTTCGTGCCAATTTGATGAGTCAAGCCATTCTCAGCTTATTTTTACAGTTGTTATGCTGTATTTGTCACACCATTCTCCCGGGTTAGGAAGAGGGTAGTGTGTTCAATTTTAACCTCGCCATACTTTAACAAACATTGTTTGCCGATGTTCAAATCTCATATTCAATGATGACATCAAAAAACTAAGAGAACCACATGAACTCTTAAAGAAAATGAGACCAGGTGTGTCGACAGACTAAGCATTTCCTGCTATGCATGTATCATTCGTCATGCAATAACATAAACGGTACCAACTTTTCTGCACCAGATCGACGAGTATTTCGACATTCAATGTCTCTTCAGTGATGCTCGAGGCCAACATATTTGAAAATCCACACTCAATTCAACTATAACAATCAGTGAATTACAGACTACTTTTATGGTATCTTAAAATCTAAGACCGTGAAAACATGTTGATAGTGAGTTGAGACACAGACATATCGTATAAGACAATCAATTCGTGATGTGACCATAAAAAGTATGAATATTGTTTCGATTTCAGTCATTATCCTCATAACTCTGTAGAGGCATTTTTTTGTGTAAGGAACACATTCCTGATAATGTATGTATAGTGTGAACATGCACGGGCGTTTCATAGCAATTGAGATATGTTGACGCTATACGATGGAGCAGATGGCATGTAATTGCGAAATTGTAAAGTTGAAATAATCACTTGTGTCATAAGTTTCTTTTTTTCTAGAGTCGTCTATATGTGTCAATATCAAGGAAAAGATTAGGATATTAGGCTAGCCTTTCAGTTTTTGCAGTATCCGTAGTCTCAAGTCCACGAGGATATATGAGATGCAAACACTCTCTGAGGAGAAGGTTATTGTCTGACAGGACATAATCAATATTTCTGAAAGTGAAACTAAAGAACCTAGCAAGATGTTGTTGTTTTTTTTTTGTCTGGCAAGTCAGGAGCATCTAGTTGAGTGGTTGTCTTTGGATACTATATGACATGATTGATTGATTGTTGGTTTCTTCTTTTTTGTTATAAAAAATCTCGTTTAATTTGTTTCATATTTTGTCATGGTGGGGCCTGACTATACGGTATAGGTTCTGGTCATTGTGGAAGGCCATATTGTGAACTATAGCTGCCCAAGTCTACGATATTTGGATTCTGGTAGAAACCTTCAGTAGGTTGTCCCATTGCCTATAATGCTATTCTAATATTTTAATATTGAAGTATTTCTCAATTCAATCGCTATATGACATTAGGATTTAGGACTACTTGTATTGGTTTTTACATTTTACAAGGTGGAAGTTTTGAAAACAAGAGAAGTATGACGATATAAACTGTAACGAACAACCACGAATCAAAAAATCAGTAAAGTCGAAGCATGAAACTGATTACAATCCACAAGTTATCTAACAGAAACATCATAAATAAGCAACACACGTTCTGTGTAAACTAAAAGGTGTGTACACAGAATAGTAGCGCAAGTACATTAACATACCTAAAATTAGAATAAGTTAGGTTAACAAGAACATGTGGAAATGAAACCTTAAGGAAATGGTAGATGTAAAAAGTAAAATAACAAAAATACCAAACTCCAAGGAAAATTCAAAACGGGAAGTCCCTTATCAAATGGCAATATTAAACAGGCGGAGGAAGCCGTGTCTGTTGTTTCGTTAAATTCTAGTTATGGAGGATATATAAATTAAACCCAATCAGAAAAGTTTGGATTTTTAATGGAAAAAAACATCATCAATATATCTGAATGTGAAATTAAATGATCTGACAAGTGTCTGAAGGAACTCAGACTCATGAAAATAAGAGGTCGGCAAGGAAAGGCGCACAGTTCGTTCCCATAGGAATGCCGACAATTTGTTGAAAAAGTCTACCTCCAAATTCAACAAATATGTTGTCAATAAGAAACTCCAGCATACTGATCACTTGTTCCTCTTTATAGCATGTTTAACTTATTGTTCACTATTTAAAAAAATATGCCGTATGGTATCACAAAGCAATAGATGGATAGCGTATGCTACTATTTTTATATTGAAAAGCATTGTGGATTATTTCTTTTAGACAATTTTTCAATTTCATACGAGAAATGGTGGTATACAGGGTTGAAAAATCAAAAGTTTTGGTAGAAATAATTTCAGAAAGATCGAGATTTAAAATTATCCAGAAGTTCTTTAGAGTTTTTTAGAATCCACATATGGTTAATACAACTACGCCAGTAAATAGTTTCACAGTATTCCTGAAGACCCTCTTTCACTGCTGACAGAATTTTTGTCAATCTAAATGACAATTCCTTTGTAGAACTTGCAGATGAGCCGGCAATATGCCATTATTTGTACGGAATTTTGTGAAGCTTAGGTATCCAATACAAACAATGTAAGTCCTCAGATTTGCTGTTCAATGTAAAGTTCAATGAAGCCATGAAAGACTTATGATCTGCCAAAATCTCATCCTTGTCATATGAAATGTCTTTGTATGTGGAATTATCTGAGTGCTCATTTATTTCTAATTATTTTACAAGGCACTCGTAGTAGTACGATTTACATACAAAGACAATATAATTTATAGATTTGTCCGCAGGAACAACAACATATTAATCTTGAAGATATGATAGACATTTCACAGCCTATTTGTCTCTGAAAACGGACTTTGGTCGATCATTCACACAGTTTTTCAACTAATGATTTCGACGTTTTATCAGAGACCTGATTGTTTTGACCCATTCTGACAAAGCGTCCAGTTCAACTTCTTCTCGTTTAGCCCATGCTCTAGCGTAGTCTTCAATGGAATTCATAGTTATTTTGAATTTATGGTTCCAATTGATGTGTTGGGGTTCTCTCAACTTAGGACCATGAGATATCACCCTTCGGAGATGTTCATGTTGAATTTTGTTTAGATCCCCAGTAATAACATGGCTAGAGGGGCTGTAAATATAAGGCGAGTGGAAACAGTCACATGTCACAGTTTTTTTTTTTGGTATTCTTCTTAATCAAGGTCCTGTCATGCTTGCTTATAGTTAAATACTTTAGGTGCAATGGATTCGTGTAACTGTAGGATAAAATAGGAACAGACTGATTTTGAAAATAAAGTGGATTTTTAGATGTCACCTCTTTGTGATGAAGAACGTTGCTGATGTTGATAGCATCAATTCCTTTATAAGCAAACTGAACTAGAAGGAATTTCCTCCTTTCGTCATGTAAAGGTTTCTACCTGGTTTAAAAAGACGAAAAAGAACTACATCACAAATTATACTGACCAGTCGTCTGTAAATTGGAGAAAATGTATTTATGCATCCTTTGTCAAGTGCGTAATCTCTCAAACATTTCAGAAAATTAACTAAATGATTTTTAATTGAACATCTGCAATGTACTAGAGTTATATTTACATTTACATGTACTTTATTTACAATCCTATTAATACTGCTCTTCAGTGAACACAGTTTCGTCAAATTTATTTCATTTTACACTCAATTAAAAAGTGATTATGTTTCACGAGGTAGGCGAAGGGTGATTTTCGTATATATATATTGTTTGTAATTTGTTCGCACGGTTGTTCCTGCTGTATGGCCAACAGTCTATTTGCATTGTACAAAGAGGTATTACCGGTTTTTCCAATTTCCATTTGAAAAACAAAATCATGTTTGTTTTAACACTTACCCCACTACCAACCCCTTATATTAATTTGCATGAAATTCGCACTGCAACTATTTAAATGTAAGAGAATTCAAATAACCGTGTGTAGTACATTATAAAATAGAGAAAGAAACAGTAAGGATGTTTACGAAAGTGTTATTACTGTTTATTATCCTGTTTTATATGACAAATGATGTCAACGGTTGTTCATGTTTTGGTTTCCCGCACCCTCAATCGCAAGTTTGCTCAGCTGACTATGGTAAGTTTTAGAATTGATGCGTGCATGAAAGGCTTCATTTGACTTTTTTTTTTTAAAACAGAATTGGTCTTTTATATTAGATTTTAAGTTCCTATTGCAGTCACATTAAATGAAATGTATGGTCATCAATGGTATTGCCAATGAAATGCTTCTATGAAATAAATATTGACGTTACAAACAAACTTTTGTTTTTTTAAATAATGCTCTTCAATATTCATAACTTGTTCTGATCTTAAATATGACAATATAAAAAACAAACCGCTCCTGTTCAGTTATTACAAATAAGTTGTATAGAAACGTAATTGACTTTGATATAATAATTCTAAGATAACTTCCATTCAATTTGGCAAATATAACATGCATTTAAATAAAAAAAAAAACAAAAAAAAAACAGGTTAATGCGATATGATTATGAACGCTCAATTATCCTTGACCAACGTGCTTTTAACGTGCTAGTTTACAAGGTAAAATCCAGCAGCAAAACGATATGTCAACAACCCGGTAACATTATTTTTTACTTTGCTCTTTATCCTAAACGCAACATTCTTTCGCTGGTGAACATCTTCAATCAATTAAAACCGCCCCTGTCTCTTGGTAGAATTCGCATCTTGAGTGTGGTAGGTCTTGGTTTCCATTCCCAGCGGGTCAAGTCCAAGACTTAAATATACTATTTAATCCCACCTATCTCCTAAAAACGCAACATCTATAAGTAATGGCATAAATTGGTCTGACCAAGGAAAAATAATATGTCCGGATAGAGTACCATGTCCCAGTGTGCACTGTTCCTTGGTCATGTTGGTAAACTAGTACGTACAAAATCCGGCTCAGCTTGTCCGTCTAGTATCATATAAGCATGTTCTCGTCTAAATATGCATGACATATTTGTCATGTGATATCAAACATTTATGACATCATTACTTAACACTAACATATATGTTAGTTGGCAACCTTCAAAAAAAAATCTTGATAGAAGATTTGGCAGACCAACCAGATGCAGCAATAGAAAACAAGACATGAGCGATGTCAAGTCACTCACAACGAAGCCGATCAACATTGCTAGATATCGAAATGTTTATCTGAGCCACGAAGAACTTAATGCTATATGTTAATGTATGGTAAGTCAGGTTATATCACTGAGTCTTAATAGCACCAAACCCATATCACCGAAATAATTATAAAATCTAGTTGAGCCTACACATACAAAATAATCAATACAATATTAGATTTCAACATCGTATAAAATATTTCTTTCTAAATCAAACACATAATTTAATGTAAAGTTTTTTTTTGGTAGACCACCAAGAAAGTAGTATTACCTATCCGGTGAAAGTAGAAAATCAAATGGTGTTTATATATTGTTTAGCATTATTTATTGATCTATTGATAATGTTCAATCATGTAGTTAATGTAGTAAATTATGTATCAGGAAAGCACAATTGACGATTGGTGTAGTCCTCCTAATTGGTTATTTTCTTTTAAAAAAATCATATCATTATAATAATTGTTATTAGTATTTGTATTTATAATAATTATTATTAAAGGTAAGTGAAATGGGTAGATTGAAAAGGTATAACAAAAATACTGAACTCTAAGGCAAATTCTAAAAGGAGATGTCCGAAAAATCTGACAATATCAAATGCCTTCAATCATCGGAACAAGTGAAAAACAACTCCCATATTCCGGATTCGGTACAGGGATTTTCCGAAGAAAATGGTGGGTTAAAACTGGTTTTACAGCTAGCTTAACCTCCCACTTGTACGACAGTTGTATAGTTCCGCTATATTGACAAAACATTGGGTGACCAACCCAAAGCGACATAAAAAGTTAATGTGACAATAATTGGGATCCAGCAGCCCTGAAATCAGGCTCTCGTAGTAATCTCCCTCGTAACATTTTTGGCTGATTCTGGATTCACATAGCAAATGGGGTAGGCATAGCAGAATACTCGACATAATGCAATTCCACTGGTTTGTTAGATTTGTCGGTAAGTTTCAAATTTTTTCGACTTACAGTATTGGTAGCTGCTGGCGAATGTATCTAGCAAACCGACTGCAATACGTAAACAGAATTGACTTGGGCATACTGTTTACTAACCAAGAAATAAATTGGAACTCATCATTGGAAACTTTAATTAGTGTCGTATTATATAGCGCCTTGTAGTATTTCATGACCGGTACCGTGCTTCATCTTTTAGTGAGATTATTCGAGTAATTTCACTTTGGACGGGTTAATTGTTAGATGGGTACTTTCCATTGGATTTTTCACAATTTAACTGTTCCGAAAATGAAACAGAATAAATAAGCTATCAGTAAATAAATTTCTGGGAGGTTCAATCTGATTAAAAATTCGATCTTTCAGTTTGATGCTATATATAGTGTTGTCGGTCGTGTATAATTTAATGGTCATGTTTATTGAAAGTTTAGCATTTTATTAAATATTACCCAACAGAGTTTTCAAAATTTTTAACTACATGTAATGCCTATCAAAAACAATTTCGTCCAAAATCCGAAATATTTCCGAATATAAACCAGAACTTTAACAAAACAAAAACATAGACAATGATATTGGACAGACCTATGTGTTCTTAACATTTCAATGTGTTCTTAACATTTCAAGAATGATTTTCGAAACAAAATATTACATGTCATGAGTTCAAAATACAAGCGACCAGGCATTTTCAGACATTTTTGTGTGTCTATCTTTTTAGTGACTAAGTAAGGGTACTGATTACCATTTGATATTCCTGGGGGAGGATTTTTTCCGGATTATTATTTTTTTTCATCTGTTGATACGCGTCTTTTTTTTCTTAAAACTTTTGTACACATATTTTTCCTGCATTTAGTGTTGCATACTGATCATTTTTATCTCGCCTAGTTACACACGTTATATATTTTCAGTTCTTACCAGCATAAGTCATTTATTTTCAAAAATCCTTTCGGAATAGCCAATGGTTGTCCCCTAGTTTTTGACGTAATGTAATAATAACACCGTAATCTCAACAATATTTTATATTTTTCCAGTATTCCAAGGCAAAGTTACCAAGGAGCAATTTATACCAGGCCCACCTGATGATACTGCTAACAATTTTGCGATATGGAAATATACATTTAGAATTATTTTCAAAATAAAGGTAGGAATCAGTAGCTAAATAAATTTTGGAATATGACGTGTATGAATTTAGACATGATAGAATTAATATGTTATATTTTTAGAAGGCAAATAGTTTAAATATAATATGCATTATAGGAACAACTACTCACATATACTTTGCAGGAAATACGTATTCTTAACAACTGGACTGTTTTTTTTTATATCCAGTTACAGTTAACTCCCAAATGTAATAATTGTCATTTCCATGGTGTCTTTTCTCCGAACTGCATTATTTAAGTCAGCTTAAAAATCGTTCGAAATGGGACATACACGTGCAGAAAAAGTGTCAGTAACACAATAATATATCTTAAAGAATTTTCTCATAGGTTTTCTAAATTAGAATAGAATCTGAAGAAAAGAGTGACAGTATTTTCATCTTTCATACATAATCAATGATAACCTTTACATTATTCACCCAAATTTGTATCACAGTGTCTGCTTTATTGGTATTCTAGTTTAACACACAGAAAATATATTGCAAATTCAAAAATATTTTTATTGATTGAAAATGCTTTTTTCATGCTATACATTTACAATACAGGGAGTGACAGAAGGTGTTGGTGAAGAAGTAGTTGTACAGACTGCTGGAAATAGTGGGCTCTGTGGAGTACGTTTCACGGTCGGAAAGTCATATATTCTAATGGGTAAATATAATGTAGAATGCATTAAACATTGCTTCACTCCCGTATTATCTCCCCTAAAAAGTTAACTAGTTCAATATACACTGCAATATGCATTGTACATCTAGTTAAGGAGTAAAGAGATAAATACGATCAATCAAGATGCAAACGTCAAGAAAGGTACACAAGATTGATTGGTTGATTGTTGATAACTTAACGTCCAGTTGAAATTTTTCATGCATGTTCAGGACGAGAACAAATTAACAATGAATACAATAGGTATCGCCTGTAATAGAGGTCGTCCGGGATGAAGGTCTGGGAAATTCGGGTATATTGAATAGGGACAGAAATTTAGCCTTGCAACAGGCCACCTACGGACCCCTCTAAGAGTTGTTGTGCAAGGTTTCTTAACGTGCAGAGAACGTTGGTAAAGAAGAAAATGGTTAATTAGCAAGTAGACGAACAAGTACTGTCAAGTCAAAACAACTCATAAAACTAAGATAAGATTTCACATGGACACAAACACGAGGAAGTGTGTGGTCTCAGATCCTAGGCATTGTTAGGCATAAAACTTCATTTTGTTAATTGAAGTTGATTGAATCTTTAATAGAAAATTATTTGGAATGACTTCGGCAGTTATGAATGAATGATGAATGCCATTATACCATGTTGCAAATGAAACAAATATATGTGCAACTACAAAGTAAGCTGTTCCTTTTGTTTTAAAGTAGCGGTCTTCCTTTTGCTTTTGCAAATAAAGTCCACTGGTTATTGTAAGATCTTTGTCTTTAGGAAGAAAAAACTCCGATGGAAAGAAAACTATTGGATCCTGTGATTTTATCAGACAAAAGAGCAGTCTGTCATCTTTCCAAACGACTTACCTGTTTACAAGAGGTTCTAATTCGTACAATTTAAACTGTAGAAGGGGATGCAACGTAAGTAACTAAAAAATAAGCTATGGATTTGTTCGTTCTTGTTTAGGTTTAACTGTCATTTACTTTAATTCATGAGATTACAACTTTTTGGTAATTATTTTTATTTCATGTATCTATTATTACTCTCCTGATTTGGATTAAAGGAAGAGGATTGAGATTTCAAAAACTAATTTAACCCTTCCACCTAGTAATGTACCTTGTAAAAGTCAGCAGCTCAATCAATGATTGTCTCATGTTATATCGAAATTTGCCTTATCTGGTTAATTCTGTTGCAATGAAAAATGTTCAATAGATTCTAAATAACTTACAAAAAATGTATTCACAACGTTGTTTTATATTCGGGACAACCAACAGTTTAACGTATTTAATAAAAAATATTTCCTGTACATACAATATTATAGATATTTATCGTCGATAAACTATTTTTTCAAAATCTTAATTCCCCCGATTTTGTTAACGCGAACTGTTAAAAAATAAACAGTGTATACGCAAATGAAATCAGTACAAAAAAGAGCCCTCCTTTTAAAATGTCGGTAACATAAATATCAAGAACAAGACAAAAATATTTAATATTATAATATCAAATTATCCTCACAGTTCGTGAAAGCAATAAATACATGTTTGATAATGATGAAACACTTATGGGGATTTGTTATTTCTAGCATGGACATTTATTTTCAAATATATTTTTACTTTCTAAGTTTTTAGTGTATCAATCTTTCAAATTTATGTTTAATTATTTGTGTTTGTCATAATGGACGCATGTTAAGCCCAAAACATGGTAAAGCAAGGAAAGCAGAAACGTTTTTTTTTTCTTTCATTCCCATTTCTGGATAATTACAGATTTTTTGTTTACCAAACTAGTGTATCTCCAGATGGTAATGATCTGCCTATAAAGTGGTACATGCACATATTTCCAAGAATTAGATTTATTCTTTATACATTTGATTTACATTTTCAGAAAATAAATCCAGAATCAAAAGGTTGTAAATATCAGCCTGGAGATGATAAGCTTGACATTTGCCTAGCTAAGAATGCTCTGTGCAAAAGAAGAAGAAGACGATGTCGTTGGGTTAATAATGAAAAATGTTCATGATGTTAGCGTGGTAATGTCATCAACAACCTGTACTTTAATGATAGATAAATAAATGAAACAAATATTCAGACTTTCTTATCAACATATAAATGAGTATTTTATATCTAAAGATGTTGTCGTTTGAAACTGTTTCATTGTTTGAGTTAGAGTAGAGTATGGTTCTGATGGCCGAGTGGTCCTAAGTAGTCGAACTACTGTTTCACTAGCTATATAGTCTGTCAACACTGAGGTTGTGAGTTCGAATCCTGCACGTTGCGGGTCCACTCGACACCAATCGGATTTGACTAGGATTGTGAGTTGTCCTACCGAAGGTTGGTGGTTCACTTCCGAGCAATCCGGTTTCCTTTAACTATAAAAACTGACCACCACAAAATAGCACAATAGTGCTGAAAGTGTTGTTAAACACAAATCAATAAATCAATTAATGTTAAAGTTAGATTGTTATTCATTTAGGTAAAGTAAATCTACAATAAGTGTCAATACAGTATCCACAATTCACATTTGTGACAAGTGTCAAGTGAATAGTAGGATCGGCTAGCCCTTCCGACGCACCTTATATAACCCCTGGTTGTTGTTGGGGTTCGTGATATTTAGATCGGTTATAGTTTTACTTGTAGTGTGTTGAAGAGTTGTGTATGTCCTTTTGTTTACAATAAATTGAAAATAAAGGACTGAGCAACACAAACCCCACTAAAATCGGGGATGACCTCTAGTGCTCTGGAAGGTTATGAAGATCCTCCTTAACAATGTCACCGGTCGTGTTGCTTATGTAAACATACACCCGATGGAAAGTTTTGTTCGGTTTGTCACAGTTGTCTTTGCGTATTTACAGCTGCTGCGTGTAAATGAGCTTCGATTGTTTCTGTCTACAGTTTGAATAATAACCGGGCTCGTCTCTGTCAACTCTGACTTACAATCTTAATTTGTGTTAACACATGACATAGACAAAATCCCTTTGATATTGCTGGGGCATAACCTGGATAACGCACAGCTCAGGATTGCATTAACTACCTTATTTACACCACACTGCTTATACAGATATTTGGCATTCTCCATTTGGTAAGAAATATCAAGTGCATACATGTAGATATACTCGGACCAAAAAATTACTCACTTTATAAAACATCAGAATGGAAAACATACAAAAAAAATGTAGAAACATTGCAATCAACACAGTATCCGGCTAAATAAGAACACAGTTTCTTATGTTTGTTATAATACTCAACTTATTATGTTTTTATTGATATTGCCTGACATATAAAAATACATAATACATTTCTTTGTACGGCCATAAAAATAAAACTAACGATTTCACGTTAAAAATTTAATATTTCAAAAGTTCACAGCTTCGATACAAAATTGAAAACACAATTCTAGAAAGAACTGTTGCATGGCAGTCCACGAGATTTTCTTTCTGGTTGTGATTCATTTAATGCACTTTCTTTATTCTCAGCATTATCCTGCTTAGATAGGATTGCAAGATTATCTTCTTCTGTCAAAGTTTTGGGATGCCTAGGTTTTGTCTGCTTTGTAGATGGATTCAAAATATTAGACACATCTTTAAGCATACAATCAGCATGTGGTTTGTAAGTATGATTAGCCTTTTAACGTCTATGACCTGTCCTGTCCATTTCCGTCTGCTCACTGACTTCTGCTTGGTACAATCTTGTTGGAAGTGTTCTTTTTCCCTGAATAGTTACTAAAATTCCTCTTTAATTCTCTCTTTGTATCTGACAATCCATGTCTAAATAATGTTTGATAGATTTTGTTGCAATATAGCGATGGCATAGCCTTCCATTATAGGTTTTATTATCCTTACCCCTATATTCAATATAAATTCTGTTATCGTCTCCTAACTGTATTTTTGAAATTTGCAGATTACGATGTTCGTCACGACAACGTAGACCAAAATATTTACAGTTGTATAAAAAAACAGTATGCAATAAACTTTCAGGTGAATGATTATCAAACACAGACTTCTCCCACAATATTTCTTCCTGCTCAACTGAAATCGGATCTGCCTGCTTAATATTTATACTATAACCATCTGATGTTAATTGTTTCATTCGTGCGTCAAAGATTCGCCTAAACCTCTGAAACCTGTCGTCATACTCCTTCCAAAAGCTAAGGTTAGAAACAAATTGTAACCGAATTCCTCTTAGAAGTTACAAGAAGAAAAAGTGTCTTTAGAGGATATTTCTCTCCATTCATTTTTCAAACTTCTACTACATATTTCCCCATAATACTTAAATATCTTAAACAGTCAAACATATTAGGTCTGGTATAATGAATCCACTACCGATTTTAGAATTCTTCTTGTCTTCATAGACATTAACTTCCTATTTTGTGGCTTTCTGTGTGTTTTTGTTCTCAGTTTCTTTTATAAGTACATGCGTTTATCAATTAAAATCATGGTCTGTCATTTCAGCAAACCTGGAGTAGTTGTTCCTTTTCTATAGGTTTTTTCATCCTGAAATAATATAATGTAACATAATATAATTGCAAATGCAAGTTTTTATTATTGATACATGCATACATATATGTGTGTGTGTGTGTGTGTAAACTATACATTTTGTGAAGAACATGTCCGTCTGAATTATCATATATATGTAACATTTCTCTGCGTTATTTTTAAAATATCGGTTTGCTTGTACAGATCATTGGTAAAAGTTCTGTTTAAGTAAGTCCAGTGGCAAATATTTCACGCATATTCCGGACGAGAACAATTACACGATAAATCTAATCGGAATTCTCTGCAATGATTAACTTTAAAACACTAAAATATCATATGCAAACATAAATTATAAACGATCGATATCGATATTGCACCACTCGCCTCGTGTACAATGCAATTATTTGACTAGCTTAATTTGCTGATAAAAAAGAGGGATTTGGTAAGAGCTTGAAAACTCCTTTACAACGGAAATTTATGCATTAATAATGTATTTTTTCCCGAAAATAAGAATAGAGGGGCAGCATATATAAACTAGTTATTATAATATCGTATGCATAATAGCAAAAACACATTAAAAAACTAAAAACAAGTTAACAAAATACAGAATATTTACCATCCATCCAAAAATTGGATGTGTCCGTGCGTCGCAGTTTTTTTTAAAAAGACATACTTGAATACTTTGAACCTCTCCATTTTCCGAAGTTACATGAAACCACAAATCTATGTCCAGTTCTACGTCATATGAAATAGCTGAAGTGTCAATTTAATCTCAAGATGAATTCTCATCCACCATATCATCAAAGAAGTCCTCTATATTTACATTTCTTAGTTCCATATCGTCCTCTCATGTTTCAAAAAAAAAATAGTGATAATATAAAATCGTTCTACGATAATTTTTGTTGAAAACCATCCATTCCGGCTTCTTGTTGAGCAGAATGTGATGTTTTGCGGGAAAACTGTTGACATCATGTGTTAAAACAGTTATTGGCCATACAAATCGGTATATATCATTTAATTTGCACGGTCGGGTTGATCCATTAACCCGAACTTCTGCGTCAATCGGGTCAAGCAGGACCACCCGAGCCATGCAAATTAAATGACACATACTGAAATGCTTGGTCAATAACTATAACTTATTTAACTATTTTGGATGACACTTTGTCCTCCGAGATAAATAGTGGTATGTTCGAAAATTCGAAAGGAGCACTCAGAGCTTCCCCCATATAATATATAACATGTTTTTCCCTTGTCGTTGTATTATATATTGCAACGAAAGTTCATGCATCGATATTTAAGAAGTATTTCTCCTTGGTGTGTTTTATCACACTTAGGTAGTTTCATCTATGCATCATTGCTAAAAGCTGGACGCGGTTGAGATAAAACTAAAACTTTAATACGTCGTACGCAGACTCCCAATACTCCATACATACGTTGGCTTGATCATTTTTCTTTCAAACGTATTTTGTTGTTTAGTTTATTTCAATTGATATGAAGTCGTACAGTAAAACACTAAATCGTCTATCAAAGTGCAGAATCAGCACTCAGACTTTTTTGAAATATCAAGAGGGGTGAAACAAGGAGAATCTTTAAGCCCCTCTTTGTTTAATCTTTTTATAAATGATATTGAAAGTGAACTCTCAAAAAATGATAATTATCCTTTGAAATTAGTTTCTTCTGAGGTAAATTGTCTTATGTTTGCAGATGATCTACTTATACTTTCAGAAAATAAACAAGGTTTGCAAAATAGCTTAAATAATTTAGAAGAATATTGTGACACCTGGCAACTTACACTAAATGTTAACAAAACTAAAACTATGATTTTGCAAAACAAAAACATTAAATTAGAACAATCTTTTGTTAAATATAAAGATATAAATTTGATAAATGTTTCAGAATATAAATTTTTAGGTATTCTTATTAAATGTAATGGCAATTTTAATCATAGCTCTGAAGAACTAGTAAAAAAGGCGAAAAAGGTAATGTTTGCTATTAAATCCTATACTGGTTCTTTAAATAATATCCCTATTAAAGTAGCATGTAGTTTGTTCAGTACTATGGTGGAACCAATTGCTACATATAACTCAGAGGTTACTTTTATGGATACATATATAACATTATATAGAGCTGTCCAGAGAGCAAATGTATCCCATAAAGAAATTGACTTTCTTGATTTTACTGATAAAACTTGTTTTGACAAACTTCATTTATCATTTTGTAAATATATTTTGGGAACACGAAAAAATGCATCAAATTTAGCAGTTAGAAAAGAATTAAGTCGCTATCCATTAGAATTAAAAATAAAGGTCCAAAGTTTACTATATTTAACAAGACTTCTAAATAATTGTATAAATCCCTTATTATATGAGGCTTTCCCTCTATCAAAGAATCTAGACTCAGCAGGATGTTACACATGGTTTACGTATATAAAAACATTGCAAAGGAAGCAAATGTAGATTTTAAACATATTGAGGAGTGTAAGAATCTAAACCAAATAAAAACACTTAAAACTGAATTAAAAGTTAAACTCCTTAATCATTATGAAAAATTATATAAACATAAATTTGAGAAAATAGATAATAGCAGTAAACTTCTATTATATAAAACATTAAAACAAAGTAATAAAATAGAAACATATCTGAACTCTAATATATTTGAAAATAGACGTAATATCACTAAATTAAGATTAAGTGATCATAATTTATTAATAGAAAAAGGGAGACACCTAAAAATCCCTAGGGAAAACAGGTTGTGTCAGTCCTGCAATACAATTGAGGATGAAAAACATTTTCTTTTGTATTGCAGGAAAAACGCTTCCATTAGACCAGTTTTTATTGAAAAATTAACAAAGGCTAAAAGTATAGAAAATTTTGATAGCCTCAATGAAAATGAAAAAATGATAAATATTCTTTGCCCATCATCACAAAAACAGGTAGAAAGCATAGGTTCCTTTATTAAAAAGTCATTGGCACTAAGGATAGGGGACTCATAATTGAATTTTGAACTATTTTCATTAGTTTGTTTAATATGATTATACATGCTTTTTTCTTGTCATTAAGTTAATGTTGTTTTTGTCACAAATCGTATAAGTTGGTTTATATGGCAATACAAGTTTGATTTGATTTGATTTGAGTAATATTTTTGATCTGTTTATTTAAAACAAAATAGTGCAAAAACAATTGCATGTATAGGTTGTATTGCATTAAAAAACAATCGACCTCGAAAATTGCAGATACCAGGTTGCCGTTGTCCACAATGTTCTTCCAAATTCTTACTTTATTTTTGCTTTTTTAACTGTTTAGATTCAAGCGTTACTGATGAGTCTTTTATAGAAGAAACGCGCATCTTGCGTACACAATTTCGATCCTGGTATCAATCAAATATTTTCTTTGTTCGATACTTGTTAGTATAAAAATTGAACATGCTAAAATAAAAGAACAATTTCATTAATGATTGATCTAAAGATATTTATATAAAATGCTTCGCAATCAATGGTTTATAATTAACAAAAAAGTTACATGTAATTGGTATGAATGTTTGATTAGTTGCTAGTTGTTTAACATCCAATGGCAAATAGTTCATGCATGTTCAGGAAGAGAAAAAATTAACAATAACAAATAGGTAGGTACTGTTATAGAGGCCGTCCGGGATGAAGGACAGGGATATTTGGACTGTCACTGGAAAATGAGGGTAGATTGCATTGGGGCTTCATAATTGTACATCCCACACAGCCAAACGGACGCCCCACTTTAACAAGGGTTTTAATGACGGTCGGAAGACCTATAGTGACCATATTGTATTCCCTAATCACCCTTGGGGGTAATTGATATGATAAATTATAAATCGTTAATAGAAATCTCTGAGCAATATACATACGGGTCACTGAGCAATATACATATGGAGTCTGAATATATCAAACTGCATTAATATATTGCGGAAATTACATGAAATGTTAACCTTATCGGGATTAATGGCATTTTTTTTAACGATTTGCAATTTATATGTGCACATCTGTAATGTACATAGACTTGTGAATACATTAAGTATTTCCTCTTCAAAATAATCCCATTTATATTGTTTGCTAGTGAAAGCTTTGACAAAGTTATTTGATTTTGTATTATGATATATGTCCCGCGTTAAAATGCAATTAAAAAACGATAGAGGTGAAGGGTTAATTTTGTATAACGTGTTTTGTCAGTTTTTTTACTCATTTTATACCTGCATGGGATAGAGTTGCATTGTATTATGCAAATATGTTAATATAAACATGTCTAGCCTTATTTTGAACAAAAATCTGAACTCATATTCTTCTTTGCAACATATCATCCTTTACCATCCCCTGAAACATGTCAGCATATAATTTGCTAATCCAATATCAAAATCTAAGAGGATGTACTTAACTTATTGCTGTAAATTAATTCGATAGCTATAGAGTAAGGAATAGTTAAGATGTCTTTGAAAATTTTCCTGCTAATAATTGTTCTAGCATTTATGACAAGGGATGTACACGGGTGTTCATGTATTGGCAACCCACACCCTCAAGATCAATTCTGCTCAGCAGCGTACGGTAAGTTTTACCAAAAATAACCAGACGTTCATATTACTTTACAAGGCTAGTTAATAGTGAGAATCACAAATGTGCTTCTTTAGTTATGGTGTTTTTTGCACTAGATTATAAAGTCACAATCAAAGGATTTAATTCATTTTTGAACAGGAATTTCAAAATAAAACCAAATTTGAAACTACTGTTATCCTAAGTTAATAATATGAATGTATATCAAATAATCACACTAACATTGCTATATATTTGTTTAAAAGGCATGTATTGTGTCAGCGAGGTTGGCAACAAGTTACTTTAGTGCATCTTTTTAATTGGTCTAATTTCATCAAATGCAACGTTCAAGTTACCGTTCTTGAACATTTTGAAAGACGATTTTTTGTCGTTTTCCGAGCAAAATTTGTTTTCTATTCCTTATGTATGAAACGAAGCCTGACATTTGAGGATGTATACAGGTGGATATTACATCATCGATGCTTTCATGGATTATTTGAAATATTTTACTATCAATTGCCGGTTTGTAAATGTTGTACTAGTAAAACCTAAATTAACGATAAAAAAAAATATGATATTCTGTGGTGTACTTAACTGCTATGCTGGTCAAAAGATTAACTTCTTTGTTAAAGATAGGTTTTTGATTTTATCAACTCTTAAAAAAGAGAGGCGAGAGATACCAAAGGAATATTCAAACTTAAAAATAAACTGAAAAAGCCAAAACAGGAAAAGACCAAAAGACAAACAACAGTACATAGAACACAACATAGACAAATAAAGACAGCAACACAAACCACAACAAAAACTGGGGGTGATATCAGGTGCTCCGGAAGGGTAAGAAGAGCCTGCTCCACTTGTGACACCTTTGTGTTGCTCATGCAAGTACAAACCCGGTGATAAGTCTAATTTAGTAGGTCATATTCGGGGGAAAGGGGACGGGATTTGCAGTTACAACACTATAAATCTATAAAACGGATATTCCATAACGGTCATCCAATTCGTGATGGCGTCCGTAAATTTTACGAAGGGATGATTTCATCTTCACTACTTGGAACTCTTGTTTTAATAGCTTCCTTGTGAGCAGCAATCCTCTATCAAGTAAATCATGATAGGAAATACAAGCCCATGGAATCTCGTATCAACTGGGGGGATATATACTCCGCATGCAGGCGCTGCTGGAATGTTGCTACATACCAATGGACAGTTCACAATTGGGAAGCTGAAATCATCTCTTTTGTAGTAATGTCTGGTTTTCAACCGACCACTCATTGTCAATTTCTAGATGTTAGTCAAGATATATGAGGCAGACTTGTATAAATATTGATTTTGTTATCAGTAACTTAAAACCATACGTGTACTATCACGGTACTACAATCTATCGATACCTATAGTTTGGCATTGCACAAATTCATGTTTTTCTCTGACTGTTAATGACGTCTTAACACTAAATCCATTGTATGTTGGATGTGTACTGATTGATATTTTAGTCTTAAATACATGATATTTTTCATAAGTTGTTATTGGCTTTGAAATAGCTGTCAGTAACTGCGAGTACTCTCAGATATGTACTTAGTGTCGTTTTGTTTTTGGGATGTATAAGTACCCGTCCACGTCCACACTGTGTTTTTGTTAGATGTACTAGTATTGCTATTTGTATCCATCTGATGAGTTAAGCCTTTTTCAACTGATTTTTATAGTTTGTTCTTATGTTGTACTGTTACACAACTGTCCCAGGTTAGGGGAAGGGTTGAGCGCTCACAAACATGTTTAACCCCGCCACATTCTTTGTGTGCCTGTCCCAAGTCAGGACATGGTTCATGTCTGTCATATTTGTTTTTCTTAAATTGTTTTGTTAAAAATTAGGCCGTTAGTTTTCTCTATTGAATCGTTTCATATTTTTCATGTCGGGGCCTTTTATAGCCGACCATACGGTCAGAGCAAATGTGTGTTATCAAGTGAACTATTTACTAAATAAACCAAATTAAAGGTATGATCCAGATTTCACATATTCACTGAACATGGAAATTTGATGGTGCGAGCGGGACATGTTGTGGCCAAAGGACAACTTTTTCTTGTTTATTTTTTGTTTGTTTTGTCATTTAAATAACATATGAATTTGATTAACAAAATGAAGATAAAAATGCCATAGTCACAAAAATATAAATAAACTAATTAAAAGTATAACTTAAAGTATAAAAAAAAATTATAAGCTATCTAGGTATGTCGACAACATTAATACAAATAGTTCCAAAGGAGTATGTGAGGGACATTTACACCTAACATAGGACAAGGGAAGAGGCTTTGTTTGACATCATCTGGATTTCCACCTGTTTGGACCTATATGTAGATAACGGTTGATTGGTTGTTTAACGTCCAGTGGCAAATATTATATGCATGTACTCACATTATAATTGATTGGTTGATTGTTAAAAAAATGAAGAGATGTGATATGGTTGTTTAATTTTCAGTTGAATATGTCATACATGTTCAGGAAGAGAACAAGTGCAATAGACGAATAGTTACAATAGGTAGTTCCTGTAATAGAGGCCGTCTGGGATGAAGGTCGGGGAAATTTAGAATGCCACTGGAAAATGAGGGTAACTTGGACAGGGACAGAAATTTTGCCTTGCAACAGGCCACCGCAAAGAGTTGTTGCAAGGGTTCTAAACGTGCAGAGAGCGCGGCACTCTCTTTACATGAGGCATCAGATTAAACGTCCCCATTCTGACGTGGCTGCGTACTTGAACATGTACATCCCGCAAAGCCAAACGGACGCCCCGCTTTGGCTAAGGTTTTACTGCCGGTCGGAAGAAGACCTGTTGTGACCATATTTCTATTTCCCAGTCAACATTAGGGGTCCTAACGAAAATACACGACTACACTCAAACAAAGAATTTAAGTCCAAAATTTCGATCGTTAAATGCTAGTAAAACTATTGTGTAAATTTTGAATGTTAAGTTAATTTTGGCGTAAAAAAGTTATTCTGAAATCTCGTTAAAGAACGTTTTTTGTTTATCTTGTCTTTGTTCTAACTCCGATAATTGTGTTTGTGCAGTTAAAATATTACTAACACCTGATATAAAAAATGGGATTGTTTTTTACTCAGTTGGTAATGGCATGGCGAATGGTCCATCGCAGGAGTTAATACTGCCGACATATCCGGATCCGCCTACGTTTTGAGTTACACAATTATCTCAGAGTTTATATTCTTAATAAATAGTTCTTTTTAAATTAAATGACGAGATCTGAACCTCGGTTACTACTTCAATCTGTTATATGGCTAATCAACTGAAAACCGTGAGATTGATAGAAAACGGCATATTATGTTACTACTAGTGAAGAGTATACTAATGCAATTGTCAAATGGAGCGTTTTGACAAAGACTCAAATCAAGTCGTCCATGAGCGCCAAAAACAAAAGTGTAAAGTGTTTTTCCATGCAGAACTGAAATTTACTATACTAATATGATATTAACATTTAGTGATTCTGCTCTGGAAGATAACAAGGAGAAAGATTGATTCATCTACAACAACCTTATTTGACTTTTTTCGCCTCATGTTAATTAGCCTTTCCCCTGTGATAATCACACCCTTTATTGTGGATGTGTGTATTTTGTATAAAAACTAAAAGATTTAATGTGATTGTCAATGAGACAACTCTCCACCAGAGGCAAAATGACGTTATGTATGGTTACCAAAAAAAATATTTTGTGTTCAAGACAGATTGTTGGTCTTGTCTAGACTCGGAACGACAAAGAACTTGAATAGTAAATTAATATAGACACTTGTCAATCGTTGTCATATGCATTAAACATTTAAATGCCTCTACCTGTTTTCCAGCTCTTTATTGCGATTAAAACGACGTTTAAGCAACATCTCCTTATTCATTCAAGAATTGAATTCTTCTTTTTGTAAATTCATTGGGATGTAAAAGCGTTGACCGAAGTACATTTTGAATGAAGCGCGGAAGCGCTTCATTCTAAAAATGTACGCACGGTCAACGCTTTTACAACCCTATGAAATTACTAAAAGAAGCATTCAATACTTATAATTACATTTTTTTGCTATGATCATGAAAACACGATTACTATCATTTTTTTCTTTTCTTTACCTGTGCACTTTATTGTGGAAACGTGTGTCATCATGTAATGATCATGTATGTTACAATTCATGAAATTCATTTTGAAATGAAGAATGACGCGAGATTGCTGTTAGCCAATCAAAATGACGTATAATAATGAACCATACATCTAATGTAATTATAACGTCATTATAAGTAATGAATTAAAAATTAAACATAGTGCCTACAATAACATGTTAAAACAACTATAAGTTCCCGGTTTACTCCCCGGATTTTATTCTTTTATAGCATGTGAAAATATAATATATATTTAACTAAAGCTTATTTTAATTGTCATGCATAAATGCGTCAAACAAATATAAAAATTGAAGCAAATGAATGCATTATGTATTTCCTTAACGTTTATTTTACGGATCCATTGATTTTATTTAGTTACATGTAAAAGAGAGGCGAAAGCTACAAAAGGGATAATCAACTCATAAGTGGAAATAAACTGACAGCGCCATGGCTAAAAAAGAAAAAGAACCAATACAAATAGCAGTACACAACACAATAAAAATAAAGGAACTTAAATCAAAAACGGTAAAGGTGACGCCGCCCAAATTCGAACTTATCTAGGTTTTGTGGCAATAAGCATTATGTATAAGTTTCATAACATTTGGTTGTGGCAATGTTAAGTTAGTGAACGGAAACGAAAAATTCATAAGTTTTTGTTTCCATTTGTAAAGGACATAACTCTGGAACGGTAAAAGTGACGCAACCCAAATTTAAATTTGATCTGCTTTTTGTGGTAATTAACATTGTGTATAAGTATAACATTTGGTGGAGGCAAACTAAAGTTAGAGAACGGAAAACAATTTCGGGACGTACGTACGGGCCTACGTACAGACGGACAAGGGTAACACCTAATGCTCCCTACGCTGCGGCAGGTGCATAAAAAGTGAGACGCAAGGAAACATCTGTATCAATCATTTTTCTATAAAAACATAAAAGCGTTTGGGTTTTTTTTACGGATTTAATGCACTAACACGCGTGTATTTGTTAACCCGTTGTTTGATGTGTTAAACCGAACCTTCATACGATTAAATTTTAGTAGGATCATATATCATTATAAAAATAAAAAGACATGTCATGATTGTCAATGAGACAAAGATACACTAAAAGATTTAGATAATCAAATTATTTCTTTATTAGTGAATAGTTTTTCCAATATCTTTTTATTTAATATTATCATAGCTTCTGCTTTTTATTTATTTTTATCAAAAGTATTTCTCGTACTTTAAATTTGCAAAAATAGAACATCGTATGCTTTGGTTTTTTTCAGTATTATATGGCAAAATTATCAAGGAACAGTTTATACCAGGCCCTCCTGGCGATACTGCAAATAACGACGCGATCTGGAAATATACTTTCAGCATTCTTTTTAAAATGAAGGTATGGATCAGTATTTTAAAATTTAGAAATTGAACGTCTTTGAAGTTGTGCGAAGAACCTTGTAGAAGCAATACTAGCACTTCTGTGTTGACATGAATTATCATTGATATGGTCATAATTATAAATTAACTGTTTACAAAAGTTTGAATTTTCGAAATACTAAGGATTTTCTATCTCAGGAATATATTACCTTAGCTGTATTTTGCAAAACGTTTAGGAATTTTTGGTCCTCAATGCTCTTCAATTTCGTACTTAATTTGGCTTTTTAATTTTTTTTTTTATTTGAGCGTCACTGATGAGTCTTTTGTAGACGAAACGCGCGTCTGGCGCAAATACAAAATTTCAATCCTGTTATCTATAATGAGTTTATTCAGAATTAAATGAATTAAACACTGTGTACATTATCGTTAACTGTTTTGATTCGAGTGCAAGTGATTATGCTAATGCAAACGTAAATTGAGTACGGCGTACTTTTTTAAAGTCAGATATCGTGATTTATGTTTTTCATTTGTACGGGAAATGAACTTTACATTGCTTTCCGTGGAACAATAAAACAAGAAATGAAAATCAAATATGGAGTCATTTTTACATTCTACATACATCTTTAACCAATGCCCTTTTTAAACAATGTACAAGTGAAAGTGAGACTGTTTCAATTTGAATGACATAGAAGATCTTTTTTTAACCAGTAATTAATGAAAATTGTTTGATATGTCTTTTTGCTGTCTTCAATTTATATCAATCAATAAGACAAATAAGAAGAAAGCAATATACATGGGAGGGAGGGGTAGCAAAAACAAATCATGCGACGAACAAAAGAAAGGAAGGAAGACTATAAAACAAACAAAATTCGATGTTTCTCAACTTTTTTTATTGCTTTGTTATTTTTAAGAGATGCTTGGCATTGAGTTTAGTTGAAAATTCGTGTTGTAAATTAATGATATAAGGATAATAGAAGAAAGATATTTCGAAGAGGTACAATACCTTACCCAAAATAAATAAAGATAAGCATTTTTTTACAGATAGACCAACACATAAGATAATTGTTGATGATTACTTTTCTTACCTGAAAAGAAGAGTTAATGCATATGCAACTAAAGTTAAGCAGTCTCTGTTCTAATTGTAAAATCCGTATATCCCTTGGAAAATATATTTGTCAATCAAAATTGATTTTATTGATTTATTCGCGACAAAATCATATACATTTATAACACAGGGAGTAACAGAAAGAGTTGGTTCTGAGGTAGTAATTGAGACTGCAGGAAATGGTGGGCTTTGTGGAGTACGCTTGCCGGTCGGAAAGTCATATATTATAATGGGTAAATTTTATACAATTAATAAAGTATGATTGGTTATTTTTCTAGTGAACAAAAGTAGTAACTGATGATGAAGTCATTCAATAAATAAGTCAACTTTTTTTTTTAAATGATGTAAAAAAATACGTTACGTACCATGATTTAATCACATTGATGTTTAGGTAATAAAAAACGGCCTTCTAAGTGGAACATCACTCCTATTGTAACCATCTGCATATAAATAAACACTTATATATTCCGTGCGCCCGAAGCGCTTATCTGGATTTACCATCAAGAACGCTCAAACCTAATCATGTAGAAGCCAGGGATGTGTAAATACGCTACATCGTTTACTTACGAACTCTATGAACAAAAAAGGCTAAACAAAATATATAGTTACTGTAGACAAATTCATCTTACTTCAACGTTGCCTGAGGGAGTTACAACCCTAGTTCTAAAACATTTCCTATTTCAAACGGGGATTTTTAAAAAAAAATATATTTTTTAAGTCACGTCGGTACTGAAGCATCTACCAGCAGCTGTATATATCCGGTGCTTATAAATGCAATAGCAAAATTATAAATTCATTATTCAACCTGCATTCAAATATAAATTGTTTATTGCATTTCTAAGCGTTGAATATATACCGCTGCTGGTAGATGCTTCAATACCGACATGACTTAAAACATACAAGACATATAGAATATGTCGAATAAAAAGAGGGTGTTTTTTTCGCATCCAGCTTTTAACTGTACTATTGTTCAACACTTCAAAAAGACGAGTTACCAAGGGGGGAATAAAGGTCACAAGTCCAATAAAAAAACAACACCATGGCAAAACAAAAAAGACGAGGCAAAGGCAACGAACAAAAACTTCAAGCAACACGAACCCCATCAGCAATAGTGGTGAACTCGTTCCCCCAGAAAATGTACGTATTACTGTTCCTCTAGTGGCACCCCTCTACAAAGGAGTTTTGTACAATTTGTTCTGGATATCGCAACCTATTGCGTCTTCTGTTCTATATATGACATTGCTGACTGAAATTATCTATAAGATGTGTTACAAACGATATAAGAGTGTTCAAAGGCGAGATTCCGTAGCAACGGGTTAAGGGTTCTTTTTTATTTCGAACTTTCTTTTATATAGTATTTTACTGTATCTATGACGGTTTTGTTTCTACTATATATATCTATATGGTTTCAGTTTTTAAATATCTTACTGTACAAAGTCATGCTGCAAAAGACAGGCGAAAAATACCAAAGGGACATTCAAAATCATAAGTCGAAAATAAACATAGACATTTTCGTTCGGGGGTTGTTTTAGTTTATTTTGCGATCATGATAAAAGTTTGAATATGAAGTGGAACACCATTTGTTCGATGTACAAATAAAAGCAACGGGCGAAATATGTATGCATTGACATCGCAAAAATAACAATTTTTGCACTATACCGTAATGTTAGCGTCCAATGACTGCACATTCTCAACATGCTCAATGATCAGAATAATAATGAACACCGTGTTACTGAAACGAATAATAGAAAAATTGGGTAAGCGTCAAGTAAACAGCAATAAAACGACAAACCTGGTCGTAAGTACACTAATTGAATATGTAAGATAAAAGGAGCATAATAAATAAAAAGTAAAAGAAAAGCAACCAACGACAACTCTATCAAAGACGGGATAAACTTATGTACACTGGAGTTTCAACCAAAAATATTAGGATAATACTTATATTTCGTTTACTAAAGGAAGAGGTAACAGTGGAGATAGAAGAATAGGATTATGTGATTTTATTAGGGAACTCAGTAGTCTGTCACCATACCAAACGTTTTACCTGTTTACTGGAGGTCCTTATTCGTACAATTTTAACTGTAAAAGAAGATGCACCGTAAGTTATCAATTTACAAATATTAAGTCTGACTAGATCTACATTTTCAAAAAGTTTTTATCACCGCGATATGATAATAAATAAATATATGTGTTTAAAGCAACGGGATAGATAACCAAAGACAAATTGTAACTCTTAGACGTGTTTGAAAGTTCACAACGAAAGATGTTTTTCCAATTTTTGCTGGTAGGTACATGTAGCTATTTATCCCCTCTTTGAAGTATCTGTTCATGCAATGTATCTATATGTTATGGTGAATTTTATAAAGACCTTAGGGAGGTCCTTTATTTAGGTTGGTACAATCTAAGGTACGTAGGCTTGGTTTAAACGTCATTCTGTAGCAACCATCTTTTATCTACAGTCTCATTTTTTTACTATTGACACAAGCCAGTTTTCGCTAAAAAATATCATGACGTAAAAAAGGAATTTATAATTTATGTATGCGGTATAATTTTCAAATTTGAAACTTCTTTTAAAAAGAGGGGCGAAAGATACCAGAGGGACAGCCAAATCACAGATCGAAAACAAACCGACAACGCCATAGTTAAAAAATAAAAAGACAAACAGACAAATAATAGTACACAAGACACAACATAGAAAACTAAAGACTAAGCAACACGAACCCCACCAAAAACTGGGGTTGATCTCAGGTGCTCCGGAAGGGTAAGCAGATCCTGCTCCACTACAACATGTACAAGAAATCTCTAATATCATAGAGTCATTAATCAAGCAATTAAGTTCTGTTATATTATGCAGCATGAATAAAGCCCTTCGTGTACAATGTAGCCATGTAAAGAGAACGCTTAACCGTTTATGCCGGTTTTAATGCACATATATCAAGCAAATTGAAAACATACAATATTTAAAATGTGACAAACTTATGTCTGAACCCTCTTATAGGGACACTAGCTACGAGATATATAAAAAATATAAAATAAGATTTTTTTTGTTCAATCAATAATGAAAGTGAAAAAGTGAAATAATATATCGCTTTTAGCAGCCAGTATGGTTCAATTTTGTCAAAATAAGCTACGAAACATTGATGATGAATTATTCACTTGCAAGTATTCATGTGAACTTCAATTTAACCCCTTAGCTAGAGATGGATACCGCATGCTTTGTGCGTGTTCAATTATTTAAATGAAAATAATGTCAACATTGAAAGTGAAACAAAGGTATATCATTTGATTGACTGATTCGATCCACAAAAAAATCATTTTTATACTGATAAAAACGATGATTAACATATATTTTTAATCTTTAATATGAAATTAAACAGACCAAGAAAAATTCAAATGCACGAGTCTGATATCTATTTATATCTATATTACATTTTATGTTTATATTGCTTATATGGCAATCGGAGGTGTTCGGAGGTCAACTAGACAGTTAATTAGATGGCGCCGGGACTAAAATACACACAAAACGAAGCTACATATTATCGAGCCCATACCCGATATATTATTTATTTTAGACTTTTTATAATTTGGATAAATGTTTTACATTGTTATAAATCAAATATGAGAGTTTGAGTCAAATCGGTGAACATGAATTTGACAGCTAGTACCCCTTTAAGGGTATTTTCAAAAGATTTATAATACTTTTCAAGTTCGATTTCACGGGGACTAAAAGTAGCCTTCTCATACCTTCCCTCTGTTATGACGATCAAAGACATGCTGAAGAAAAGGCTGCACGTATATTTTATGTATCGAGAAAGCAGCTAAACATGTTTGGAATAACTTTTTCCGAATGAACCAATTTTATATGCATTGTTTACAAACTTCTTTCAAAAAATACCTAAGGAAATAAACAGGTAAAACAAATATTCTCAAACTATATTACTGCTTCGTGTTCTATAACTATTTCTGACTAAGCCATTTAATCATATGAAAATGTATGACATACAAGCACTATAAGTTCTTAAAACACCTGTACTTAGATGCAGAAGTAAATTTGATTTGGCAATTTACTAAATATTTATAGTTCTCTTTTCATGACATAAATTGAAAATGAAGAATAAATATACACACTTGTTATTGTTTTAAATTGTAGTGCTAATTATTAGGGGAAAGACTATAACAATATGACATAAAACAAAACAAACAACAGAAGTCATGCGTGCACAGACATTTAAACATTTAGCAACATAGGTCCTCCCAAACTCTTAGAGTGAGCACAAGAGGCTTCCTTAGGTAAACAAATTCCTGCTCCGCTACCATATATGTATCGTAATGGTGAGAATCTGTCACATATCTCTTAGAATTAAAGTCATTTCATATATTATACTCTTTTTCTTTTTTTCTTTTCAGAAGTTTCGTAGCAGGTCAGGAGGTTGTAGATATTCACATAAAAACAATAGGCGTTGCCTTGCTAAGAACGCATTGTGCAAAAGACAAAGAGGAAGATGTCTTTGGTTTAATAATGAACAGTGTTAACTAGATAATGTCACTTAGGTGCGGGGAATTATGAAATAAAAATACAAACTCTATAACATGCTTTTTTTTTGTATCAAAATCCATTTTCACTCTTCGAATTCAGGTCTCATATCGTGTATTTGTGGTAAAATCAAAGCTATGACTATCTCGTTTTGTTTAAGATTTTGGTTGTGTTATGAACAGAAAACATTTTATTTTAATCCAATACTTATGGTTTTGAGCGCACTACAACTACAGTTGTGTAGAGGTATTCAGTATTGGTACAAATGGGGATAGGTCTATAATTGATTTTCGCAGGAGTATCATGACTCTAAAAGATAAAAATCTGTGCATCAGATTACATTAATATTATACTAATAAAATAAAAATAAAAATATATGGGATATGCTTAAGACTTGTTTAGCAAACTTTATTAACCCGAATAACGCAAATTTGTGGTTTCAAATGTGACATAAACATCTAAAGGTACTATTACATATCACAGACAGAAAATAGCAGCAAGTAATGAGATGACAGAAATTATTTTGACAGAAATATTATAAAACGTGCTAAAAATCATCAAATTAGTGTTGTCTTATGTTGGTATGTATTATATTTTCATCCGAAAGATATTTGTTTTGTATGTAAATAAAAGTGTCCTACATAGGTAGGACGCAATTACTGTAAATATGACACCACACATCGTGAAATGGTTGTACGACCTTTTTGTTGTTCAATGCAATTACATTAGCAGCGAACAGTATTAAAACATTTTTTTCCGCGGGATAAATCACTATGGAGATATCGTGAATTTTTCCCATGTCTTGAAGTTGGCGTCATGGATATACGTCCGGAACTTTAATTGTTATGCTTGAGTGGATGACTCCGCAAATCTCCGCGAGAAATTGTGTCTTTTGCAGAAAAAAATTACTTAGAACACAAATTTGTGTGTATTATCTCATACATGGTGGATCATGACTTACACACCGGAGTAAGAGTTGTTCATTAAATTTTTTAATTCTATTAATTCTCATGCATTCCCGGCTCCAACATGCCAGTGGTAGGGGACATACATTTTTTTTGTACCAGTCTCTAACCAAAACAATCTTTTGCTCGTCCAACATGCCAGTGGCAGGGGACATACCAGTCTCTAACCAAAACAATATTTTGCTTATCCAACATGCCAGTGGTATGAGAAACACCAGTCTCTAACCAAAACAATATGTTTTTTTTTTCATCCAAAATACCAGTGGAAGGGGACACACCAGTTTCTAACCAAAACAACATTTTTGCTCATAGAACATCCCAATGGTAGGGGACATACCAGTCTCTAACCAAAAACAATATTTTACCTCATTAAACATGCCAGTAGTAGGAGACGTACCAGTTTCTCACCAAAAACAATATGTTTGCTCCTCCAACATGCCAGTGGTAGGGGACACACCAGTCTCTAACCAAAAACAATATTTTTGCTCATCCAACATGCCAGAGGAAGGGGACATACCAGTCCTTAACCAAAACAATAATTTGCTCATCCAACATAACAGTGGTAGGGGACACACCAGTCTCTAACCAAAACATTTTTTTTGCTAATCAAACATGCCAGTGGTAGGGGACACACCAGTCCTTAACCAAAACAACAGTTTTGCTCATCAAACATGCCAGTGGTAGAGGACACACCAGTCTTTAACCAAAACAATATATTTGTTCATCCAACATGCCAATGGTAGGGGACACACCAGTCTCCAACCAAAACAATAGATTTGCTCATCCAACATGCCAGTGGTAGGGAACATACCAGTCTCTAACCAACAATAATAGTTTTGCTCAGGAACACACCAGTAACTAACTAAAATCCAATTTTGAATTAGAATCTAAAATTGTGTCATGCAACAGCCTATTCGTAGGGGATATACCATTCTTGAACAGATTACAACATGTTTTTTTTTAAATACTAGGAGGTGTAGTATACTTTACAGAGAACAACATTGTTACTCATTCAATAGTTATTTTGAGAAAAAAAAATGATGAATGTATATTGTTGGTATATTTAAAAGGAGAGGGAGTTTCCCATCTACAATTTCATTTAAGGGTAATTATAAGCCATGAGATGAGATTTGTAGGCAAGAAACTTCCTCCAATTGAAAGACCACTCTTAGAAAATCTTTTGCTCAAAAAACAAGAGGGGATTTATATAATTGAAAGAAACAAGATTACATTTGTTTGTCACTAGGCAACTTCAATGACGTTGGCTAATGACATCATCATGTTCCGAATCTCCTCAACTAAGATAAACCACGTCAACTTAGTAGCTTGAGAGGGGGGGGGGGGGGGGGGGGGGTGTTAAAGGATTTTATAGATCATCACATGTCCTTTGGGACACGTTTTATTTCCCATGTACTAGTAACACCAGGGGGGAGGGGGTTTGAATAAGCCAAATTCATGAGGACATCAAGGAAAAAGGAAGAAATTTCTTCCATAAAACATACAAACATTAGGGTTGTATTAACAGCTGGGCTTTGCAACCTTACAGAAAAGGTTAATCCTCAAAATGGTAAGAGTTAAGATAATTAAGAGACAACAGCAATGTTGTCAATATTGTCAATATTGTCTCTGAGCTAAAAAAAAAAATCATTCAGATTTCTCAGAGAATAAAATACCTGATCACTTCGTTTCAATTGTTTCAGCCTGCATTATAAAATGCAGGGATTTCGACTTAAATAAATTTGAATTCAAGAAATAGCAGTACAGGCTGAGGCACAGTGTGTTTTCAGATGTTTAAATTGACCTGATGCAGAGAGAGCTTGAGCTCGATATTGATTACATCAACCAGGAAATTATGGATTTAAACACGGAAGGGGGTTTCAGATATCAGATGGGACAAAACAATTCGTAACATAAAAATCAGAAGGAATCAAAAATATTACCGATTTAACTTCCAAAATCTGTATGATGGAGTCCATTCTTCAGATGATTTATATGAAGAGTGGTAAACAAATATGTGTAAATTTGAAAACAGTAATTTTTCATTGGAATTTAAGGTAGCTGGGATGTCTAAATGTCCGATGATAGATTTTCTTAAGCTTCTGTAAAAGACTATTTATTTCTATTTTAGTGCTGAGAAGTTTATCAATAAAACCGATCGACGCTTATTGTATTAATAATCGTGCCTCAGAGACAAAGTCAGAGTCAGAGGACGACTTGTTTGACAATTTATTATTAGAAAATAGAAATTGAAATTTTTAAATGAAGGTATGGAAAACATTATTTTAAGATTGCAAAAAGCCATTATTAAATTCGTTTGTCATGATTAGATATTTATATATACGCCTGTCAAAGACGATATGTACAATGTATTACAAATGTTCTTCAGTCTGTCAGTCTGTTGTAAACATGTATCACCGTAGCTTGAGAACGCCTTGTACAATATACTCCAAACTTTGATATGATAGTCTAATAGTCTGTATACTTTTTGGAGAAAGTTCCATGCAAAAATGTTTGTTTTTTATTTATCAATTAGCTATAGACATTTGGGTTTTAAAATAGAAAAAAAAAGATTGATCCACAGTTTTCAAATGCTAACCTGGTCTGGTACACAGAAACCACTGTATACATATGTCATGCATGTCTCATTCTTTCTTATTAGCCTAGTCAAGTATTTGGGAAACAAAAAAAAAGACAACACAAAGTATACATGGTATACACTGACAACGTGTATGCTGACAACAAGCCTTCTAAACCCATAGTCATTGATACTGATTTTGATTCGGATAGCACGCAGCCTCCATGTCCATCACATTACTTAAACTGGGTAAGACTTACAAAGTTGCACTCAATATTTACCATAACATGCTTTCATATTTAACAAAGTAGTAATGCGCATACATGTAAAATTAGGTTTGGTTCATAAATTGCTCTCTTTTTGGCATTCATAACTACTTGACCTCTACAAAAGTAACAAATAGAGACAGATTTTAATTAAATTGTCAAGAAGGTTACATTTATGCATATTTAACATGTTTAATGAGATAGTTTAACAGTCAAAGAATTTCATGTTTTCAATTGACAGAGTTTACACATTTAAGATCTTGTCTTTGCTAAGTTTGGTTTAAAGCTGACTGGCCTAAATTTGAAATAAGTACTTAACTAGTCATGAATTTGAATAACATTAAGGAAATTTAAGGTCTTGAAAGACTCGTACCGAAAAAAAAATAATATTACCTTTCATTTCCAAAACTGGACAGGTGTGAAACAGATTTCACAGGACATGGTTCAATGGTAACTTCAAAGACTGTTTAGTAATATAACATAGATAGATAGATAGGTTCCTTCAGCAACATGTATCAACTATAACATTTAATCCTAATGCCTTGTAAAAAAATCCTGTGGTTCCTAAAGTTAACTTCTTAGTTTAGGTTCATTTGAATAATAAGGGGGCATATAGTGTCTCACTGTCACATTTTCTTGCTTCTAAACTTTTTATTTTAGGGGAAAAGGGGGGGGGGGGGGGGGGCATTTCGACATAAACAGTAAAAATAAAAATATTCATAAAAAGTTAATAAATGGTAGATTCAGTCAGGTTTACAGAACCACAGGATCATTTTACGTCTATATGTAACAGCTTTTCTCTTACAATATAAGCAT